CTCTGGGCCAACTGCGTTGTCTTTTCAGCCTGTCCTCTCAGCTCCCCGCCGGAAGTGGAGGTAAGGGACGATTCTCTTTCTTAACGCCGAGCACGCGCCCAGCCGGCCGCGCGGTAAGGGTTGGCTGTGTGAGGTGAAGCAAGAGGTGCCCTCCACCCGGGAATAGAGAGGTAAAGAGCCGGCTCCCTTCAGGGTAAAGGGCCCGGATGCTGTCAGGGATCGCTGCGCACGTGGACGTGCGCCCAATGCACTCGTGCGGGGCAGAGGAGCACGGCCCCACCCCGTTTAGGTTGCTGTGGACACGGTACACACTGTGTAGAGTCATAGACCCCGCTTGTGGGGAAAAGCGTCAAGGGCTCTCCTCCCTTCACGATAGGGAGGCTCCGGGTGTAGACAGGTGTCTCCCTCCCTGCCCGAAGGTGTGGCGACATCGACCTCACCCCTGTAGAGACATCATGGGGCTGACCGGCGCTAACCTCTATGGGCACTAAGGCACACAGATCCGCCTCAGCGCACCTCTTCCCTTAGGACAGGGACTTTGATGTTTTCCCCCTACCCCTGCCCGACCACCAGTAAAGTGGAACTTAATATACCGAGGGGGGGGAACAATCCTTCCCTTCCAGTCAAGACCTGGAGAAGCCCTAACCTCGCTCCGGTGTAGCTAATTGATGGAAGGCCCGCCCCCACTTCTGCAGAGATTGTAGATCACCCCTCCCCAAATGATGGGAGGCACAAGTCTCAGCCTAAGGGGGGAACGGAACCTTGCAGATTTTCTCCTCCTCCTAGGCTAGCGTGAGTACCCATTGTGGAAATCAGACCACTCTTGAAGGTGTCAATTTACTGAATTTGTAAGGACCCCCAAAATGCCCCACAACAAACTGCAATACACCTTAACCATGAAGAGACTGTCAGATCTGTCTCTTGTGGGGCTCCCAGGGTAGAGGGGTTTAGATCTGTTCTCCTTTTGAGGTAGACAGAGATCACCCCCCACCCAAGGATTTAGAATCATCATATGTAGCAAGAAGAGCCTCCAAGGGACCAGAGAGCTCCCCTTCTCTGTAGTGTTGAGAGGCAATGACACCACTGATCAGTCACCCACAGTTCGTGCATATGGGTTCTCCACTTACCCAAGGTAGAGGAGTGTAATCTCCATCCAGGGTGAAAACACAGGACCACCCCCTGCCCCCCAAGAGTAAGGGCCAGTTCATTGAATTTATAGCTGGGTTGCAACCCCCCCTGCTGGGAAACATGTCCTATTCCCTTCAATGTTAGTACACTGATAAATAGATCTTCCCCATTCCACCTCCCATAGAAAGGTCTGGAATAGCCCACAGCAGGCAAGGTACAGACCCCACTCATGCAAAGCAGCATAAGTCCCCACTTTGTTAGTGTGGCAATAATGTCACCTTGTAGTAAAGACAGGCATATCAGTCCCACCCCACAGACCACCCTAGGGCAAAGAGGCCCAGGACCACCCTTTGTACAATTAGAGATGATCAGACCCACCCTTCTCCCCCAGGCTGCAGAGATGCAGCCACAGTACCAGTTTCCCCAGTTCCTCTGCACCCGGGAGTTGAGGGACAGAAGACATTCTGTCCACCCCAGTCATCAAGAAACAGACCCCAACCACACATGCAAGCAGATTTTCTCTCCTCCCCCAAGGTTTTGCACTGACCTCAGTCCACATAGACACATAAAAAACCCTATTCTGGGGCCCCTTTTCCTGGGATTTGTTTTTACCAACCTGTTTAGGGTAGGTGAGACACAGAACCCCCTACTTGGGAAAAGAAGTACTATAAACACCTAATGTAGAACTAAATTGTTCTTGCATACTCCTTCCCTCAGTGTAGAGATGCTTAGTGCTGCTCCTTTACCTACAGGGTGGAGTGGTAAGGACCAAGGACCCCATCCGATGTATTGTGTCATTGACTCCACCCAGGAAGAAAGGTTTAGACTGAGTCTTCCTTTGGGTAGTATGACCCTGCCTTCCCTGTGCGGACTCAGCCATACCAGGCCCCAGCTTCAGTGTAGTCCCTTCCTCAAATTGTGAAGGCTTCCTTATGTTCTTTAACGTTTTATTTTGCCTTTTGGGGGCTTAGAGGAGGTTTGTGGCATTGTGGTTCCCCACTCCTGTCTTCAAATTGGTTCTGCTTCCATTCTGACAGGAAGAAAGCCTGCAGATTTGAACCTATCTCCTAAGCTGCTCATCATGATGAAACTTAGACACAGTGAGTTCCTTTGATCACCCCTCCCAATTCTAAATTGTAGTGAATATTCATAATGTTTCATGGCAACTTTAAAAAATTGCCCAGAATGTACCAGATCACTCTGAATGTCTTTTTTTTAAAAAAAATATATTTTTATTGATTTCAGAGAGGAAGGGAGAGGGAGAGAGAGATAGAAACATCAATGATGAGAGAGAATCTTGATCGGCTGCCTCCCGCATGTCCCATACTGGGTATCGAGCCTGCAACCCCGTGCATATGCCCTTGACTGGAATCAAATCTGGGATCCTTTGGTCCCCAGACTGATGCTCTATCCACTGAGCCAAACCAGCTAGGGCTGAATGTCTTTTATATATGGTACTAGAGGACTGGTGCACGAAATTCGTGCACAGGGGGGTGAGGGGTCCCTCAGCCCGGCCTGCACCCTCTCGCAGTCCGAGAGCCTTCGGAGGATGTCCAACTGCTGGCTTAGGCCCTCACCCTGGGGAGCCGGCCTAAGCCATCCGTCAGACATCCTTAGTGCTGCCATGGAGGCGAGAGAGGCTCCCACCACCACTATTGCGCTAGCCATCCATGAGCCCAGCTTCTGGATGAGCGGTGCTCCCCCTGTGGGAGCATACTGACCACCAGGGGACAGCTCATGCATTGAGCATCTGCCCCACGGTGGTCAGTGCGTGTCATAGCAACCGCTT